CAACATCTTTCACTATGAACATCTTGAGCGGAAGCAAGAAGCTAGAGAGCCGCATTTTTTAGCTTTTTGTTCGATTCCCTGATGATATGCCCGGAGGCCGACCGTCTTTTCTTCAAAGTCATTCTTCTTTTTCGAAGTCAATAAGAACATTCCAAAGTTATGCTGTTTTTAACTGAACAGTGCTAATCATCTTTCTGGTAAGAACAAGTGAAGTTTCGAAGTCATGAAATTTGCCATGAATCAAAGTTTAAAGTTGGAGTTTATCGAAAAAAAATCGATACTCCAGAAACTCGTTTGTTCTTATCAGCAACATGCTTATTACTGTTGGGTTAGATAATCAGTACAACTTTGGAAGGTTTTCGTGGAAATTGAAGAAGAAAAATGACTGAAGAAAAGATGTTCGGCCTCGGGGATCAAGAGGAGATCATACAAAAAGCTGGAAAATGCGGCTTGTACAGCTTCTTTTTCCCGTTCAAGATGTTCATAGTGAAGGAAGGTGTGAGTACTTACGGAAAGGTAGACAGCGTGAATTCCAGATATCTGGAACTTCACCATATGAAGCTTTCTTCTGAAGCTGCCATCCCCTTCCCAGCGGGATGTTAGTGCATGCGGCCCTAAGATGTTGTAACTTTGTCTAAAAGCCCCACTGCTAGGACTACCTAAATGACTGTGTTTGTAAAGCGCTACTCAAAATTCGGTGCGTGCACCAGATATGGCTTTCGGAGGAAAATCGAATCATTGTTTAATAACATGCCTAAGTTCAAATGCGGTATGTTGTCATGTTTTTCGCATCCAAGTGTTCTCAGTGAGCTAACTGTGCTATTGTTACTGAGTTTTAATGTATAGTTTGGGGCTGTGAGTAAGGAGGAGGTCCGACAGCTTTCGCATGAAAACTTGAGAGATTTCCTGAGGCCATATCTCGAAAAACCTAATTGGAGCCCTGCCTTTTTAGCGAGGCCCTACTGTGCCATGTTGAACCTTAGACACTACATGAGTAGAAGCTGTTTCTTTAAGTCAAGAAACTCTTTAAGAAAGGAGTTATGGCGGCAGCCATACTTCAAAAAAACTTCTTTTTAATACTCTGATGATTTGGAACCGTATAACAACTATAAGGTTGCAAAGAAAGTTCCGGGGCGCTTTTGAAGATCTCATTTTCAAACGCATTTTTTTGGCGCTCGGTCGGACTTTGACACCAGTTGTACAGTGTTCATTGGAGCGAAGCGTAAACTTTTCAATACCGCTTCTGATTTCTATCGATGCCAAGACGTTTTTGACCTGCACATCAAAAAAGGAAAACTTTTTAACCATGAAAATTTCGCAATTATTCTGCGCCCATTTTTCTGTGCAGTTCAAAGAATTTCGTCCATCATGAGTGATCTGATTGAGACCTGTTATTTCTGAGGCTGCACTCGAGTTTTGCGATTTGTGCTCTGAGATTATAAGCTGTCGAACTTGCTTATGACTGCAACTCTTTTCGCAGCTGACGTCGCTTCTGCAGGGATCGCCGCGCCTGGGGGATGGGTCCAAAAGATGTGTAGGAATTATTCCAATAATGCTGCAGTAATCGGTGATTTGGTCCGCCCTGTGCAGAACGAGAAGACTTTGAAGTCAATTACTCGAAAAATGGTGCTTTTTCAGGGGCAAAAAATGATCAATTTTTCAAACTTTCTGGAAAAATTTTTTTGCATTTTGCCTTTCTCCCTTCTGCGCATGCTAGTGGACCGCTATGAGTTGCTGAAAAGCCAGCACGACAAATATATGTTGTAGACAAAATTCTGTCTTTTTTTGCAATGAAATTTGTAGCTCTAAAAAAGGATCAATCTGCTCGAAATTACAGCGATTTGAAAAAAAATTCGCAAGTGGCCCGGATTCTTTACAACCTAATAGTTTATGTGTCTTCGAATGAAAATGAATACTACACGATTTTAATGCATACAAGCCATTCAAAAAAAAACAACCACGGTTCTTTCCGGCTCCCCTTTTAACCCCCCCCCCCTCCCTTCCCCTTCCACTAATATACACTTCTTTTAAGTTCGTTTTTGGAAGATAACAGACAAAAATTACAGACTTACAGTAAAGAGAACGCTCAGATAGCCAGGAGAGTCGCAGGTGCGATGAAAACTGCGAGATTCACGCTAGAAGAAGGATTCTGTTGTACCAGTTACTGTTTTCTTGCTTACCAATTCTGGAATCCGGGTTCACTTGCTGGTCAATATTCCAGTCGATACAAGGTAACACTAAAAAATCAAAAGGTAGGTTTTAACTATAGTTTAACAGCAAGACATGAGTAATGTGCCCGTGTATCGGAGAGCCCCCTTAAGCAAATGCGATTTTATCTCTTAACTGGCATGCCGGGTTTTTGCCCAGCTTTGTCCAATGTGGTACAAGCACCATTTACTACTTCTCTTCGAAATCTTCTGTCGCTTATCCACTACTTTATTGTGGACAACTGCTCACTCACCTCCACCTCCCACCTCCTCAGGTCAAAGCTTGTCAAAAAACCCGATAACTCTGAAGATGGTTATTCAGGCATGCTCACTTGTTTTGTTTCGCTTTCTCTCTTTGCAACTTTCGGAATCATGGGGTACCCAATGTACCGCAGTCATGGCCGTACCAGGCGCATTCTTGGAATTGAGTATGGCTTCTCAGATTATGGGTATTACTAGCAATAAGTCACTTTTATAGTGAGAAAACTAGGCGCAGTCTATGATGGCAATTTTTTTGTTAAAGCAATATAATAATTTTTGCCTCAGTTCATTTAGGGCGTTCTTCAAAATGCTATTTTTCGCCTCTAATGAAGAACAAATGTATGGTTCATAAAAATCGATTACTTAAAAAAACCATAACGTTTGTAATTTGAAAAAGGCGATAGCGCCGCGCTCTGGGCAAAACGAGGACTGAAGGGAAATTTTGAAAGGAAAGCGAAAACTCCCTGACATTGCCATTGCATATTTTATAGAAGGGGAAAGCGATAAAGATCCTCATATGTGTTATCACCAGGGTTGAGGGTAAGACTGAGAGAGGGGGTCGTAATTAAGAATCGAATTTATCACTGGTAACTCTGCTGCCAAGACATCATCCGCAACTCATGGCGCTGAGAGATTTGGTATGAGAATCATAAAAGCTCTCATGATAACAGGCATACTTTACGTGTACCGGATTGAAAATGCTGTACTCCATCTTTGCGAAGTTCATCATGGAAGTTTCTTCTAGGAACTCTTCGCAAAGTTGACTAAGGTTGGCTGCAAATGCAAAAGAGGACTCTTTTTGTGCGCCTTCAGCATGTAGCTGCGAAACAAAGGAGGAATGATTGTACAAGTCTATATTTTTATGCACTAGGTCGCACCGAAAGTTCGTAAGCACAATTTCAAAAATCCTACTTTTGTATCAAATCGAATCCGCTCGTATTAAATTTTATTGTAAAGCTTAGAAAATGCACTTTCTAATAGTAACTCAATAACTTCCAACTATACTCAGATTGCAGAGATAAATATAAAAGAAGGAAATCCTTCGAATTACGGCGATTTGAGGCAAGCCCGCTAAAATCCAAAAATTGTGCAATAATATCTCAAGCAGCCATTCTCCTTGGTTATCTGACTTTCCCTTTCTGTCCGAGCAAAGCTTATGCTGATCGAGCTCTTCCTTGAAAAGTTATGATTTTCGAGAAAATTTGCCAAAAAATCAATCTCTTAAGAAAAGTGTTTTTCGTCAGTCTTTCTCAAAAATCATAACTTTTCAAAGAAAAGCTCGATCAGCACAAGCTTTGCTCGTGTCAAAAAAGAAGGTCAAAAAACCTATGGCGATGGCTGTTTTGGATTTTATTGGACAATTTTTGGATTTTTAAAGGGTTTGCCTCGAATCCCCGGGCGTTGGAAGATTTCCTTCTCCCATTTTTATCTCTGCAGCCTGAATCTACCTGAAAGCCATTAGGCCATTGTCAAAAAGTACATGCTTCAATCTTTCCAATAAAATTTGATATGATCAGATTCGATTTGACAGATCGAAGTTAGGATTTTTGGAAATTGCGCGAACGAACTTTCGGAACTTAAGAGTTTGGTATTTTATTTACATCTGTCAGCATAGCAAAAGTTTTCAGATAAAAATTTTTTTTGCTAGCCATTTTCTGAATAATAAATGAATGAAGATAACCAATATTTTGATCAGATAAACTTGCATAATGATATGATTCTATATTATTGAGGATCTTATGTTAGCTTGTGTGAATACACTACAACCGGTCAGAATGACCAAGCTCTGCCCATCAGAATCACAAACCTGGAGATAAGGAAGTTTTGAAGATTAAGTAGTGATTTTCTTTGGTTGGAATTGAATTCATCTTCCTCCCCTCATATATTAGGACCTTGCTACTATGCTTAAAGTTTGCAAAAAATCGTTAAAACTGCACTGTCTACGCAGGAGCTGATGCTCCTTTTTCATTTCATACCCTTCATTGCAGCATTATTGAACAGCCTAAATGAACAGTTGTAGTACAGTCAAACTGCACTTATCATTTGTAATTGAGTACATTCAAATGCATTTAGAAATTGACTTTTAGAGATATTGTTGGGAATTTGTTGTACAGGGGCTGCCTTTGATAATGGACTTGCAATGTGAAAAATTTCCTTCACTTAAAGAAAATAGTCGTATGCCCAGGTTTAAGTGAAACACCATAGCAAAAAAAAATTTATCCAAGGAACAATTAAATGTACAGAAGGCAACCCGAAAAAGAGTCATTGGTATGTATTAAGTAACATACCAAAGGCGAGATCACAATTCGCTACCGTAGCTACAGACAAGAAAAGAAAACCTGCGTAATATTTGTAAGTAGATATGCGTATTAATAAGTAAGTAATAATCATGCGTATTTGCTAGGGATCGGTCTCACAAGCCCATGTCCGTATAATCGACCGCTGGCAGTAAGCCTTCTTATATAACAAATTGAGCGAAAGTTTCCTTCAGAAGACGCTGTTGCCAAATCAATCTAAATCGAGTTTGTGAAATTACCTCAGTAAACATAACTCCTTGAAAAACTCACTGATAAGTTTGGTGACACCTGAAGCTGATGGTGACTGCTTTCCAGTTTTCTTCAAAATTCCATAAATAAGTGGATTTACGATGGGATTGGCACAGATAGCAGCATTCAGGAATGGAAGCGTGGCAGCAAAGACTTGGTGCCTTGAGAGAGTACCAGTCATATTCAGAACAGCAACGACGTTGTAGGGACTCCAGAAAGTCAGATATGCAAGGATGATCCAAGCAGCTTGACGTTTGGCATGCTGAAAAGAAAGATAAAATAATATCAAAGAGGTCGTTTTCAAATTTTTGGGCAGAAAGCCTTCCAGCAGCTGTCCTTGTGTAAGAATGAACCAAAAAAAAAACAAAATGTTTCTCTTTTTTTACAAAAAAAAGATTCCTGAGCAAAACTTGACATCAAGATTACTTATCAACAAGATATATAGAGATAAAATGGCGCTTTTTGAAGGTTCTCAAATTTTATTATAAAAGGTTTCCGCCTTTTTTTGCTCATGAATTCGAAAGGGATCAAAGACTAACTATTTCTTTCCTAACCTCGAAAAAACCCAAACTGGAAAAACCGACATCGTAGCTAAGTGAATGACGTACCTGCTTTGCTTTATGGATTGTAGAAACTGCCATGGCACTAGGACTGGAAGCGCGATTGTTAGGACTAGGATTCAGTGGTTTGGTATCCAGATAAGTAGGAGTGGAACGCTTCCTGAAAATGACAGTGCAATAGCGGAGAAAATCCCCTTGCCTATAATGTGCAGCATTTCTTAGTACAAGTAACAGTTCAGCCCTAAATTACGAAAAATTAAGGAGTAATAGCTGAAAAGGCTGATAAGTTCAACGATCTTACCCTTTTCCACTAGACTTTGACGAATCCTCATCAATCTGACTCACTGCCGAAGCTGCTGGCAGTCCATGATATTCTAAAAAGTTATTTTATAACTATATTCTTTACCAGAAATATAAGGTCGAAACATAAGTATTGCACCAAATTTATAATCATTTACAATCAAACATTGTTCAGTTCGTACGCTCTAAAGGAAAAAAGTCATGCGCTTTTTGAGGGTTTTGGAGCAAACACTGTTTTCCCATGGCGGCGAATACAAGTTGAGAAAGTTGGAAGTTTAGAAGGTACTTTTGAAAAAAATATTAGATCATCTAGTCAGATTCAATTTAATTGGGTCCTGAGCTACTTTTCTTGGTGAGATTTTGGTGATCGTATACTTCTAGAAAAAGCTATAATTTTTGAAGTTGCTGACTCTTTTTGATTACATTCTGAATCAGGTTTCTAATATGCAATATAGAATAACAAAGTTTATTAAAAGAGTTGCAAGACTTATGTATCATCCAAATACTAAAAACGATTGAAGCTCTTGGCAAATTTCAAAAATAACCTTGAAAGTGCTACGGATGTTCCATCATCGTAATGAAAGGGTTTTTCTGCCCCTCCAAGCATTTTCTTTTATCTTACACCATTTTTTTCAAATCACTACATCTACCCATAGCAATTCAAACAACTAGAATCCCTGTCTATGTGGACCACTAGCTATTTGCTGTTCGCATGCTCAGCTAAGCCTTCAACAGTAATTGCCACGATTAGGAGAGCTATCAGATCGAATCCTCCGTCAACGCTAACAAACCAAAATGTTCTATGGGAATGCGTCACGCAATCTCAGAGCAAGCTTTGTCAGCAAAACAAAGTATAAGCTGTCAAAAACTCGTTTTATCAAGATAGAAGTATAAATCAAAAAATAAATAAAATCGGTTCATCAAGGTAGTGAAATCAAACATATTGTCAAATTTGTAACAAGCTCAGGTTCCCCAGAAACTGTACTCAAGTCATTTCACTTTTGATTTTTTGCTACGGCATATAATTTCTTCATAGTCTCCCTGCGGTAACACTAATCTGAAATAATCTTACCTTCTTTCAAATGTCCCTGCAAGATGAGCAACACTGTCAAATAGCTAATAATAACAATGATGCACGGTATCCAGAATACAAATAACAAATGCGCAATATTGTACATTTTTTCCAAACGTTGCATATCGATAATTTCTTGTTCTATCTAAAAAAGCTATTTTGATTAGGTCAATGGTTGAAGCCTTGGGCTGCAAAAGCATAGCAATGTGAACCTACCAAATTTTTGGCATATTCCGAAGTCCCCGGCAAATCCCTTTCTCTTGACTTCTCGTATAAAAATGGCATCCATAGCGGAGTGCACTGCCTGAAATGATGAAGATATAATGTAGATTTAACAGCAAACCCGAAACTGAGTTTCTCATAAAGGTAACGAAATAGAAAAAGAGATAATATACAAAAAAGGAACCGCTGAGAAAGACAATGAAATTCTATGTATCATACAGCACATACGGTAATTTACTCTATTTTTATCGCTTTTTTGATCCTTCTACCTCAAGCACTCTTGAGGAGACCCAATTTTTTTTAAATTACAAAAACTAGCCTAAAGTTCCTGTCGGGCTCGAAAACCCTGAAGATGATGGCCTGAGGAACACTGAGAATACAGGCAAGGAGCCATCCAATAACTAGTAGCCGTCTACATCGAAGGTATGCTCGTCTGTGGGCATTGAAGGAGCTGAAAAAAGAAAATTTTTCAAAAATTTTCTTGACATTAGGCGGAAGATAGCATTTCGCAAGTAAACAGTAGGGTAGAGGAAAAGCCAGGTAAGTTTGACTTCTGTTGAAAAACGCTGAAGTTAAAAAAGCTGACTCGTACGCCTTGTCCAAATCTTCCACAAATAAACTTTACACTAAGAATTAGCCGAAAATTCTCAGTGTGGAAAGTCCCTGCCAGCTTAATCTTTGATAATAATAACAGAAAATGCTAGACCTCATTCTTCCCTTCTCTAACCTTTACTCTCAGTCTACTCTATGATTTCTGATCCCTCCTTTTCATTTACTCCACGGCAAGCAAGACGAAGCGTAATTAGTCTTAAGTAATTAGGTTCGTCGTGAATTATGGCAAATCTTCTGGGAAAACGCACGTGGAGTAACGCTGGATGAACTAACCTCATGTTATATGCACCGAATACTCGGTCAATGGCGATACAAGCGATGACGAACGAATTTGCATAGAATGAGAATGTAGAGAAAAAGGAACATGCTCGGCATAGGAGCTCACCTCCGTACCACTAGAATTTCTGTCATTAGATGTAATTTTTCTTTGGCAACGACTGAATGTTTTGAAGCTTTAGCAAGATCACTTGAAACAATGAAAATCATGATCGACTCTCTATAAATAAGTTCTATCCAATGAGCATATTTGGAATTTTTTGACAGAAAGCAAGCTTTTAGAGTTATCATTCAATAATTTACCCTAATGGGTAAACCCTTCTCGATAAATTAATGCGATGTTCATAGTCCTTAAAAGAGGATGGATCTATGGTTTTCGTTTATGGGTCTATGGTTCGGCTAATTTGATTTTTTGTTTTTTTTTGTTTTTTTTTGTTTAACCCTGTATCGTATTTGTCTCCCTCCAACTGCAGCATGTGCTTGTTTTATCTTGGCCCAATTTTTTTCTCAGCGGGCGCATTTTGAATGGATAACTTAAGCGAAATAAATTGAAAAATGTTGTAGCAATTTCTTTAGTCGCTTCTTCGCCAGACCCCTCTCAGTTTGTTTTGTTATTCAATAAGAGTCTCAATTATCCACAACGGCTCAGTGTGTTCCATACGCATACTCGACAAATCCGCCGAAAGAGTTGACGTCACACACCCGACGTCACCTCATTTATTTTACGAGGCTCACGAGGCAAACTAGTGTGAAAGTGTGAGAACACACTGTACGACCACCCTTTCAGTTTGTTTTCAAGCTTTTTGCAGAAATAGCTGATACAGCTACTTCTGCCTAGCTATGAGTAAAATGCTTTGAGAACAAGTAAGCAGTTGAATTATCGCAGTTAGGGATTTTCTGCCCTATTTATACGTGTGGAGGGGAAGAAGATCAATTTGACTCAAAGTCGAATCAGGGGACTAGATCTGCTTATCATAATTTAGTGGGACCTTTTAGTTATTACGACATACCCGTTCCAAATTACAAAATTTTGCGTTGATGATGAGATGCCAGTTTCAAATTTTCCCATCTCCTACATCATTGTGAATTTCAGACTAATGCTATAAAGTACAAAATGATTGAAAAATATTTTTTAGGACAAGCAAAACTCAGGTCAACGTTGTCACTTAGAACTGTGGATCAAGGCAAACACATAAGTTTGAGAACTTCGAAGAGAAAGAGAAAATTTTGTCCATGAAAGTTTTATTTTCTTAGAGCATTTTCAGGAGATTTCTGAATTTATTTGCATGCAAATCGCTGACTTTTATAAAATTGTCAACAACAGTGTGCTTACCTGATATGTGAGCAACCAGATGAATTGCTTTGGAACATAAACGAGTAATGTGCAAAGATCAGCAAGGTTGAGATTAATTCGAAGCAGTAGAATCGGACTTTTGGCCTTGTGTTGACTGAAATGTCAAATATAATATTCTGAACAACATTTGAGGCCTAAATTGAGAAAAAGTTATCGAGCTACACTTTTTCTGTGTCCCTAAGCTTTACGATTTCCAAAGAAAGAGGAAGTCCCATTTTCATCAAAGAATAGTCCCTTATCTCATATTAAAGGGTAAAATGTACTTTACGTCGTTTGGGTCGTTTCTTATGCATTAGATCTGAACAATAGCCTTCTTCAAACGCTGTTCTTATGACAGAGCTTGGTGTTTTTAGGGCAAGTATGAGCTGATCATCAGTAATTCTCAAGGCTTCCCTTTTCCCCTTACCAAATGCATATTCTCTTAGTAAGCATGCATTCAATATTTGTTTACAGGAACTGCAAACAGGTAATAATCCGCTTAGCAGATGACATTTACTGTTATGAGTCAATTTACTCATGATGAGAATACTCACCTGAAAGCTCGTAGCGATCGTCGCAATGCAATCAAATTCAAAGGTGCACCAATGATGAAACACAGGAAGTAGAAGAGCACTTCTATCTGCAAAAGAAAGGTTGAGATTTGGTTCATAAACTCAAGAATTGCGTGTCAATACTGAGCATTGGTTTTTTGTTCGAATTATAAGTTTAATACAACGTAGACATTCGTCAGCGTCTTGGGAGTATTGATCTCGTAGAATACTTTTTGATTTCCTACAGCAAGCAACTTTTCCTTTTTGTAATGGAAGATTTCCACCTCATTACTTTAGGAGCAATGATTTATTTTTTCATATAATGCTATTCTGAGATGCTTTATGCTTGACGGATTCACATTTGTAAAAAAGAATGTGCTCTGGAACTTTTGGTTATGTGGACATGGTATAAAGAACAATGTCTGCAAAAGCTACTGTTTTCTTTTTACATGCAAGAATAAATTATTTCGCACGATAGCATACAAGAAACAAAAAGTATCTAAATGGAACCGATCGAGTTGGTGGCTAATTAACCAACCTTATTTGATTATTATCAGAAAAATTTAGCCTAAGGGAATCCTACATACGTCTCGATTGTAGACAATGTCCTTTTTCTGGAATTACCAAATGAGTGAAGAGTTTTGACGAAGCCGCTTGTACCGTAGCACTACAGTAATTCCGATATTTTTTATTCTCACTGTACTACTAATCAGCCTATGTCGAAGAAGTTGCGAACCTAAAGGGTGCCACCCACCTCAATTTGTTACCCAATATGTAACTACTAGATCTGAAGTAGAAAAATTCTTACGAGTAATAGTAATGATGAATCACTGTGAATTATCCAAGTTAAAGGCCGGACATACTTCACGCGATTTCAGTCGCGACGCGATTTGGCCATTCGCCAAAAGTCATCAGATCCAACGCTAGCAAACTGCACATGCATAGTGTGTATAACTGACGTGGGTTAATAAAATGCCCTATCTTTTGTGAATTCTAAATAGGCTTACAACGAGTTATGGACAGTGAATATTGCCAAATCGCGTCGCGACTGAGATCGCGTGAAGTATGCCCGGCCCTTTGAGTAATTTAAGATGAAAAGATGACGTTAGAAGATTTTGATTTTGTTCTCACTATGGAAACAAAGTAATCAGTAATTATTAACTGTACTTTGACAGGTATCAAGCTTACCGATTCCGTCGTATTCAGCTCGAACCGATCGCTGTCATCAACACATTCTGTACCGTTGCAGCTCATCTTCGATTGTCAGCGGTAAGAGTCGAATAAAGAAGTAGAATGTGCAGAATTTCTTGCTATCTCGTATTTCTTCCACAATTTACTTGTTTATGATGAAGCTCATAATATGGCAATAGTCGGTCGTAAACAAATGGCCTGTAAATAGGTAAACACTATGAATAGAATACTTTGCAAAGACGAAAAATAAACGGGTAAACAGCGAACGATGAGAAGAGAAAATCTTTGCAAAGAAAATTTTCCAAGGAAGGCAGATAGGTTCATGATACAAAGAAACCCTGAGCAATGCGATGATTAGACTTTTTCGACAAACCATAGCAAAAAAACAAATTGAAAGGGGACAAACGATGAAAACGCCGTAAATTGTCGGTGTAGCTTTCCCGAAGCAAAGAATGGTTGTGATGGAATACGCTCTTTTTTCTGAAATGAATGTTTTTATATTCGGAAGAAAGCCATCTGCATTACATATGACATCGAAAACAAGGATTAGTGCTGTGTAACAGCTAAGAAATGCAAATTACATCTATTTTTGGTCACGGAAAAATATCCAAAGGAAAGGAAATTGATAGCTTGTTAGGAGATACGCGTTTTTTTTTCGAATGTTTTGAAGAAGCGTGATAACAGAACCAAAACGCGAAAACGTAATGCTATACATTCTTTGTTTTTGTTGAACAAAAACAGCTGTAGAGGAAATTACTCAAAGCAGAATAATCAAAGCTAAAAGAATCTTATTTGACCAATTTTTCTTGGAAAGAAAGTTTTGAAGCTGATTGTAAAATGAAAATGTAATAGAACCACGCAAAAATCATCAATTTATGCCTTTCCACTTGGCTAATCGGCGCATTTTGAGGGGGATGAACTTCAACAAAAAACTATTGAAGGTTTAAGTTGAACACTCTGAATGGACGCCTTTAAAGGCTCAATGATTTCTATTGGCTTCAAAATGTTAGTTCCTATGAAAGCTGACACTAATGAGCTATTTTATCAGAAAGTTCTTTTATGAAATGCGCAGAAAGATTCCTGCATTGGTCTGCTCAGAAAAAACTCAAGAAAAATTCGTATCATCTTGATAGAATAAAAATTTCAAAAAATGAGCACGTCGCAGTTACACGGGAAGTCCATATATATTACTTCCCAGGAAGATATGAACTACACAGAAAGTACTTCCTAACGGCAAGGGAAGTTCGAATTGGCTGGGGTCCCAAGCACTTTATGGTTGATGTTCTTCAGGCTTCCTAGGGCAATACTGATAGCCTTTCTTATTAAATTGGTAAACATGCAAGTAATTCTGAAAAGTAACCACAAACGTTCGAAAGTCAAAACGCTTGAAAAAGTAAACTGAACTAATGAAGTATGTGAATCAACAGGTCTTCGCAAGCAAGGATTTAGTAATACTATTGAACCACTACTTCCCTAACGGGCAAGGATTGAAAAAAAAAGAAAAATTGCATTGCTTCTCAATTAAAAATAATTTAGACAGCTATCAAAAAATTCAGATTGCTCTGGATGTTTAGCTACTGCAAAGTAACCATATGTAGTAACTAGTAACCCCCTTGCTAATTGCAAATGCTTTCGCAGGTTACTAGATTCTAATATGTAAAGAAACGTAACGCCATTTCAACAAACATCAAACAGCGATACCGCGGGCGGTCCCGAAGCGCGCGGATGCAAATCTAGCATTTAATGACTGGTTCACTAATTGACTGTAAATAAAACTACAGACTCCCCTGATTATGGAACCGCTAATTTCCTAATGCATCATTTCGCAAAAACAAGGCAGAAAAGTGGCTATTAGCAAAGTTGCAGATTTGCAAAAGAAGCCTACATTATTTAGCAAATCAACTCTGTAAATAGAGCTGAGAGCAGTTTGCAGGATGAAAGGAAATGGAAAAGGCTTCATAAGCCATATCACGAACTAGAAGATGACACATTCTTGTTTGTTCAAACTCTATAGGATCATGACTGTGAGAAGGGACTGATTCATCAGCAGTAAATGTTATACCAAATCTGTTTTGCAGGTGATAAGAAGATCAAATGTTGCGCTGATTAGGGCCCATATGATTTTCTTAGCGTTTAATCGTTTGCATCTGCTTCAGATTTAACTCTAAGAGTTTCCAGTTTATAGATGAGTCATTTGTTTGATGATATGTGCAACTGCACACCGAAGCGGAATCACCCTCTTATGGCCTGCTGGGCACGACAGAGGGGATTTTTGAGGATTTATTAACAATTTAACAGAGAGGTTTCTCAATACACCCGTTAGTTGCGTACAAAAAGGAGTAAGCAACTTTATACCTTGGTTAACCTAAAATGCTTCAAATAGGAAGGACGATAAAAAAGGAAAATGCGTTGTTCAAGAAGAATCCAGAACAGGTAGGAAATCAAGCAGTCAGCTGGAAGCAATAGAGGGAATTTGTCAACCATCTCCCCAAAAATGTTACAAAGGATAGAAAGAAGTTTTCTAGAAGACCCGAAAGTAAAGAAGGATCTATCTATTTGTCGTAACCTTGCACTAAATCCAAAAAATTTAAAGAATATACGATAATATTTTTATGTTTTGAAACTTAAAATGAGGTGTGAATATTCACTTTGAATCCATGAATTCCCGAATGCAATGTATACTTAGTCACGAGTAGCATTGGGAGAAGAGAGAGAATGAAGGCAACGAGCCACCTTTGTTCAAACTTAAATGCAAGTAATTCTGAATTACAAGTTACAGAGTTAATCTCCTACAAGACTCCAGAGCTAAACATAATGACCATGACTGACTCTAACTGCTTCTGAATCACTTGTCTAATCTCTTTGAACATCACATCATCATATTAGGTCATAGCCGAAGGAATACACGTCATGCTAACTTTAGATTAATAAAGTGCCAGGAAACGAAAGAAATAAAAACTTTTCCCATCTTAGCTAAGTGGAATGACGTAGTACGCATCACGCATAATCTCGCCCACGTACATAATGTGCAACATGGGAACATTTTAGTTCTGATGCCCTTGCGCTTTACTCTTTTCTAATTTTATCTTCAAATATGAAAGCTTATGAGTCTAACATTGAATCTAAAATGTAAAGCATGGGAAAATTTTTTTCATAAAAGGTATTGAAAGTTGAAACCTTTTTTTTCGAATTCATGGTGTTCACGGTGTTATTTTGCACACATGGAAATAAAAACACATTCTTGTCCAAAAAATAACAAGCTTAGAAGATATTTTCCAGCAGTCGCTGGCACCTGAATGCAACCAAGTGATGGATCTCTTTCTGAAAGAGGCGGGGCGAGAGAAGAAAAGGGAAAGATCCGAAAAGGAAAAGCAACAGTCAGGAGTCTAACAGCATAATATGAACAATTTCATTCAGTCGTTACCCTAAACTTGTGTTTGGCAAAAGGACTTTAATTCGGTAAGATTCTCTCTTGCTGAAAATTACCGAAATTCAGTTTTTTCTAAGAGCTGAACAAAGAAGTAATATGGTAAATGTGAAGATTACAATACTCTGAAAATGGCTGGTGAAAGAAAGGTGGGACATTTGTAAATATTTTCTAAGTCATTCACTGTATTTTACAAATGAATAATTCCTGTTTACCTCTCCCACATCTATTCTGGTATTAAATACATCTGATGATACATTGTATGCTACACTTGGAAATCAGTGGCAGTTGGATACCTTGGATGGGGGAATTGAGAAAATCCTTCCGAAACCGAAAAATGTTTTGGGAAGCCCGTGAGATTTATGGGAGCTGTTAGTCACAATATAAAGAAACACCGAAATGAAATCATACTTACAAGGGAGGTCGATTTGGTCGAAGTGGCCTTTTCGCATGTTATTGATAGACTATATAGAGCATCGGACGCTGATTCCAAATCTGTCTTCCTTATCTGCAGAACTCCTCTGGACGTCGAGTTATGAGCATTTTTGAGTTGAAAAATTGAATGCATAATTAGCATAAAGTTCGTCAGATTTGCTCAAATGGTCCAATGTTGATTATCAGAGAACTTCATTTACACAAAACCTTATATTCAAAATACTCATGCTTGACACTGCTCTATTTGAGTGCTGAAAAGACCGTAAAATTTGATTTTACCTAGATTATGCGTTCATTTTTTCGCACCAAGAAAATATTCATATGTCGCATGCCGAGGCGCTCGGCAGATAATGAGAACAGCTTTGCAATCAGCATTTGATGCTGATCAAAGTGGTATAAGATTCGTTTGGAAAAGCCACTTCGAATATCGGACCTCCCTTGTTGGCCATTTTCAGAGGTTTCCAAATGTTGTGTTGATTATTTCAAGTGAACGAGTTTTTTTTATTTTTGTGGACCACTTTCAAAATGATCGTGACCTATTCTCAGGATATCCCTATCCTCTCAGCTTCACTCACCTCCTCCTTGTCCTTAACTGCTAAAAAGTTTAATTCAATTTGCCAGAATGCTTGTAAAATAAAATGAGATTGAAATAGAAGTACGCGCAGGATGCCATAATAGTGCGATCCAAGATTTCTGAAATTTCAGGTAGGAGCTGAGAAAATTTCTCGAAAACTACAAACTACCCTCATCTGGATCAGCCCCTATATAAGAATCCCGCAACTGCAATTTGCAGCTCATCTTTTATTGGATTTAAAAGTGTAAACCTATTCTAGACTATTCTCGGAAAGTGCAAGTTTCAAATTGAATAAAATTAGGCATAGTACAAAGTGGGGGAGTGTACGAGCATATATGTGAAAGTAGACAACTTGCACACAGACTGCAAGTACGAACGGATGAGTAAGATTCCCAGGCATGTGTGGATGTGAAATTAGGCGGCGACGGCGACGACAACGTCGTTCATCCGGAAACGAAATCCTAGGAGCAGGGGTGAGGGAGAGCGAGACAGGGGGGGGGGGAAGGGGGAGGAATTGCTAATGAGGAAGACGGGGATGAGTGCATACGAGCGGCTTGTAAAAGTCTTGGAAAATTGCCAAGTTACCTGCGGGATCAAGATAGCCTCCAAGGAACGGATGTCCGGGTA